GCTTGCGTAATCGATTTTGGCAAAGCATGGGACACACATCTACCCTTGGTCGAGTTCTCGTACAACAATAGCTACCACACCAGTATCAAAGCTGCCCCGTTCGAAGCCCTCTATGGCCGCAAGTGTAGGTCACCTTTATGCTGGGCCGAAGTGGGGGACACACAACTAGCAAAAGGACAAGCAACTGACAACACGCTCACTGGACCAGAAATCATAAGGGAAACTACGGAGAAGATTGTTCAAATCCGAGAACGTCTAAAGGCATCAAGGGATAGACAAAAGAGTTATGCAGATAAGAGACGAAAACCCTTGGAATTCCAAGTTGGAGACCGTGTCCTACTAAAAGTCTCGCCTTGGAAAGGATTAATACGCTTCGGAAAACGTGGGAAACTGAACCCTAGATACATCAGACCATTCGAGATCCTTGCCAGGATCGGTCCAGTGGCTTACAAACTTAGACTACCTCAGGAACTCCACAACGTACACCCTACCTTTCACGTATCAAACCTAAAGAAGTGCTTATCCGATGAGACCCTTGTCGTCCCTCTAGACGAAATTGCAATAAATGAAAACCTCCAATTTGTAGAGGAACCAGTAGAGATCATGGATCGGGAAGTCAAAAGGACTAAACAAAGTCGCATACCTATCGTAAAGGTCCGATGGAACGCCAACCGAGGACCTGAATACAACTGGGAACGAGAGGATCAGATGAAACAAAAGTACCCGCATCTTTTTCCTAAACGGTAAACTCTATCTTAGATTAAATTTCGAGACGAAATTCCCTTAAGAGGGGGATGATGTGACAACCCTATATTTTCCAAAAGCATTGTAACGCTCACAAGTCAAATACAACTAAATTAACCTTGAAAATAAAGTGTTCAAATATCTAAGTTGGGATGCATCAAATATTAGATAACCTGTCAAGGTTTCCGAAAACATAAAGAACGCTCAAAACCGGGTTATATTGAAGAAATTATAACCACTCGTATATTTACGACACGACGTTAAAACATTATTTGACGTAAAAAGTAAAATCTCAATAATGTGCATTTTAGCCTTAAGTATCTAAACAAAAATCGTAGATCTCGTTGAAAGGTGAGCGTGCATAAAAAGATCGCCCAAATTGGACCTCGTATGAAGAAGTTACGAATTTTCAAAGTTTCGTAACAGTAGTAGAGGGCTAAAAACTCGAATTGAAGATCGAGTGTTAATTAGCTAACGCAATCTAAATGAGAGTTGAAGATCTCCACGATAGGAGCAAATTGATAAAAAGACAAACGGAAACCGACGCCGAATAAAGAACCTATAAATCTTTAACGAACTTTAGGAGGCCCGGCCTATTTAAAAGTATGTCATTAAAAATAAAGTCAAAACTAGCCGACGGAGTCTAAAGGAAAGTTGTAGAGCATAATCTCACCTACGCGTGGATATAAAGAACACGAGAAACGGAGCTCGTACGTGAAAGTTACGGAATTTAGAAGAGGACAGGCCAGATTACGCCCCGCGTACTCTGGGAGTACGCCCGCGTACTAGACCCAGAGTCGAGTCCCATCGGCCCGCCCACTCTAGGCTTAGCTAGCCAGGAGTCGTAAGCCATGACGCATTGTTACGCCCCGCGTAACCGAGGTACGCCCCGCGTACTGCGTACGCCCAGCGTACTTCGTAGGTACGTGCCGCGTACGGGGGTTTCCAGTCCTATAAATAGATGGCATAAGCTCGAGTTTTTGCACACCATTCACAATTCCTCAGTCATTCTCTCATACTTCTAAGCTCCAGGGACCCTCCCCTCACCTCGGTTTCCGCACTCGAGCCCCTGACGAAAGATTTACGCTGCAAAGATCCCCGAAGAGCCCGATGACGCAACTATCCGCGATCGAAGTTCTACTTGACTCTAGCCTCTCTCTTCAAACTTAACGAGTGAGTTCATACCCCTACTTTTCAATTCATTTTCATGTTTTAGGGGGGAAATACAAGTACATTACACGTTAAAGTATCGTTTTATAAACATAAATGAAATTTCTATCTTCGAATATCGATACAAACAATTTACGTATACAAGAGCTATTATATCACTAAGTTAATTTCACCAAATGGAACATACTATCTGAAAAACTATAATGGGTATAGTTAATGAGTCAGTCGTACATTTTACATATACATCTTGAAAAATGAAATACTTTCAAAAGAAGTAAGGTCATTTCATTGTAAATCTATTTATACTAAGCAATGTGAGATATTCAAACTTCAACGTACAATTATGTATGCATTTCAAGTCCTGTATTATATGTCATAATCTCTTGGAGGGAGAGCGTGATACGTGTGTATAGATCTATATGGGATTGACAATCCCGCACCTAAACTACTAGCTATAGTTAGACCGGCAGGTCTGGGGTGACAAATCTCATAACACTGCAACACCTGAAGAATGTTGTTACAGGCCGTCAGTGTCAATAGTATGGTTATAAAACTCACATAAAAAGTATAAAACAAGATTGATTTACGAGATTCATATGTGCATTGCAACTTTCTACATTAGTTTTTATACAAAGTTGTTTTTATCATTCAAGTATAAAAGATACCAACACATTCCAACTTTGGAAACTTTTTGAATCACTTACAAGAAAATATTGGATTTTCTGAAAACCTCGTTTACCAATTTACTACCAAAAAGGATATACTTTTCAACTCGAAATACTCATGAACTCACCAACTTAATTGTTGACACTTTTTCAAAACCACTTGTATTTCTCAGGGAATCAGTGATACAGGTAACTACCAGCTTTTGGGAGAAGGAACACTAAGGATGTTTTTATTATTGAACATTTAACATCATATTGTAATATTCTTTTGATAACATGTATAACGCAACAATATACGTTTTCATTATATATATATATATATATATATATATATATATATATATATATATATATATATATATATATATATGATGGTTGTGTTACTTTCTTTACAATATTCATTTGTTGTGATACTACGTGAAGTCATCCACCCCCGAATGTTTCTGCCATTCTGGTTTGGGGGTGTGAGACAACCACTATTACCAGGGACCTAATCTAGGATTTTCATCGGGACGGACATTACTGCAAAGGGGTTTCCTCTACAATAAATATCCCAAAGGCAACCATGAGGGGGATAGAATACAGCAAATGAACACCCAAGTTCATTACACCTACAGGTTATGAGCCTGCCAGCATTCCACAGAACTATCTAGAAAAGTTTGTGGTCGTCATTCATATTCTGCTGAATGACTAGATCACAATCACATCGAGGCCTCTCATCAGTTTATCACACATCAACTATCTACCTAAGTTCTACCCAACAATTTGTAGATAACAATATACATATGCATTTACTTGCAACTTTAAACTGATAAGATACTCATTCAATACTCATTCCAAATAAATAGATAATACATAATTACATAGCACATGTTTCATAGAGAATATCTCATATACTTAATCCATTCAAACAATACTTGTATTAGAATCGTGTTTAAGAAGAGGACTATGTACTCACATAACACGTATTACATAAGAGATACTTTATATCTATGTGATAGAAGAAAGGGTATATACACTCACTTGATCAGACAGCACTACGACTTGTAGAAGTAGTATTTTTTGGTAGATCTGGAAGATCTTCACACACCGGGCTTCTCGTAGGCAGAACTTCGGCTGGGAAACTCTATTCTTCTCGGGATCTTTGGGCTTCAGGACTTGATTCGGGTCTCGGGATGATACCGGGGCTTCGGGGGTACTTCAAGATGACCAGAGAGGGTTTATGGAGTGAGAGAGTGAAGGGAATAGCAACCAAAATCGGCTGCCCTTCGATTTCTATTTTATAGGGCTGAAATACTGAATTCACGTCGTGAAATCTCAAAATTCACGTCGTGAGTTCAGTCAGGCATTCGTCATTGCGTTCGTCATCAGTCCACTTGCTCTGGAAGGCTCCAGAAGGCGTCAGTACTGAGTTTACGTCGTAAACACTGTTTTCACGTCGTGAACTCTGACACAATGTTGGGGTTCGCGCCCCGAGCTTCAGAAATTCATAACTTTCGCATACGAGCTCCGTTTTCGAGGTTCTTTTTTTCCACACGTAGGTAAAAACAAGATCTACAACGTTCGTTTAGACTCCATCGGCTAATTTTGACTTTATTTATTATATTATTTTTAGTAGGCCGAAACAGGAAAACTCCGTTAGAAAATCATAACTCCTTCGTCTGACGTCCGTTTTCATCTGTCTTTCCGTCGTTGCACTACTATTGATGAGATCTTCAATTCTCATTTAGAAAGTTTTGACTAAATATCGCTCGATCTCATATTCGAACTTCGGGTTGTCTACTGCTAAGCTGAAAATTCGAAAAATCATAACTTCCTCGTACGAAGTCAGATTTGGGCATTAATTTTATGCACGCTCGTGGTTTAATGTTTACTACGACTTTCGTTTAGATCACTAAGGCTAACTATCGATCTATCATAAATTCACTATGGTGCTCTGCCTCTCGATTTTTTTGTCCTGATTTGGCCACGACGTGGTGGTCCACTGAGTTGACTTTGTCAAACTTAGGTAGAATTAAATTTTTGGCTAAGAAATGGTCTCGGTTTGGCATTAGGTAGTCTGGGTTAGCTGTTTTGTCGTTGAAATAGTTGTTAAGCTTCTGTTGAGTAGCTCAGATGAATCTTCTCACTGTACTATATAGGCTATTAGATTGTCTTTGTACCTTCAGCATGAAAGACAATGGAATATACTATATAGGTTGTTAGACTGTCTTTATACCTTTAGCATGAAAGATCATGGGATAACCATGACACTTATATGAAAGATCATGAAAGGATCATGGCCTATGCATAAAAGACTATGAAAGAACCATAGCACATGTATGGATAACCATGAGAGAGAGAGAGAGTCAAGTTTGTTTGTCAGTTTGCCTGACCATGCTATAGGACGCGTGTTTTCATGCCATATAGGCTCCACATATGCATTGCTTAAGAACATGAATTATATAATCCAAATATTCTTTTTTCAAATTGTATTTAAAAGTCAAACTTTAACATAATAACTGAAGTCAAATCAACAGATACCGATGAATCTACAACATGAATACATCTAGTCTATTTCACAAATCACAATGATACAAGTATATTGTATAATTAGCTTATAAATACAGAACCCAACAAAAAACAAAGAAACCCACCTTTTAACTACCAAATTTATTAAAAACTTTACACATTGTTCCATGCAGTCTTACTTGTACATATTTGGTCTGATATAATCACCATATAATGAACGGGCTTGAAAAGTCGGGCCAATTTCCAATCGCGAATCACGGGCAGCCTGACCAAAACCCACATCCAATCTTGGGTCACGGGCACCCACATCAAATCTTGGATCACGGGGAGACAGGCCCAAACCCAAATTTGATCTTGGATCATTGACAGACAGGCCCAAACCCACATCCAATCTTGGATCACGGGCAGACAGGCCAAAACCCACATCCAATCTTGGGTCACGGGCAGACGGGCCAAAACCCACATCCAATCTTGGGTCACGGGCAGGCGGGCCCACACCAAATCTTGGGTCAAGGGCAGGCGAACCAGTTTCTTGGTAAGGGAAGGTGGGGACCATGCGAAATCGATCATCAAGAGAAGTAGATGAACTAGAAAGGGATTCTGTAACAAATTGACCAAATTGACCTCCAGAAGGCCCAGTGTGTTGTTGACTAGTCAAACTTAATCTAGAATCATAAGTTAAGAAGTTATTATTATTATTATTATTATTGTTAACTCCAGCTCCATATTCATAATCAATTGGTAACCTGAAAAGGCCAACAGAGCTGAAAGGAACAGGGAATTTCTCCATGGATCTGTAAGCGGGAACAGAGGGACCATTTTGTAACAATGGAACTTTTTCAAGGGATCTAAGTGATAATTTAGCCTGTTGAAGTGCCTCAAGAACAGATCCCAATTCACCCGGATTTTCATGAGTTCCAACGTTAGTTTCATATGACTTATTACCTGAAGTTTCTTCACCTTTATCCAACAAGCTACTGTTTTGAGAAGATGACACGTGTCCTGGGATAAACTGTGTAGGTTGTGGATGGTTTTTAATTTGATTATCTGACACATTGACATTATTGTCCACGTCACTGTTCTTTGGGTCTTCAGTCTCGATCCTGATGTTGGGTTCTTCACTTAATTTGGCATCAATTTCTTCACTTCCACTTCCAGGGGTAGTTTTGTCATTACAGCAAGGTGATGGTATGACCGGAGGAGCTGCACCCTTAATTTCGTCTCTTTCCTCTGTTACATCTGAGTGGGTCCCAGGGTCACACCAGTCCTGAACATATTCAAGAATATTAAATAATTCTGTCATTAAAAAAAAATAATAAATTAAATCAAATAAAAAATAAAAAAAAGTAAAGAAATAAGATGACATACATTTTCTCTAAACTTATCCTCCCATTCTCTTTGTGCCTTTTCCTCTGCTTCATATCGCGCGATAAATTGAGCTTGACGTTCCAACGCCCTTTCCATGTCTTTTTCACTTCCATCATTTTTTTGTGCCACGTCATCATTTTGTGCCACGTCATCATTTGGTGACCTATGTTCTCTGTGTCTGATCTGGCGACATGATTTACCAAGGCGTCTTGGTGAAGAACCGGTGGATGTAAAGCTATTACTACGTCTTCTTCTAGAAGCTTCGGAGTATTTCTTTTCAAGAAAACGTGAGGAGGAATTTTTACTGCTTTTCCAGGATAAGCTTCTAGAAGATTCAACCTCGGAGCTTGAGAATTCACTTTCCTGGGGTTTCGATTTCACATGTTGTAGTTTTGTTGATGTTTCTGTTTCAGCATGCTGACTGGATATTTCGTCTTGATCTGAGCTTGAATTGAATTGTTCAGAAAGATCGTTTCTTCCATGGTTTTCTAAAATCAGAAGAACATCTACTGTTGCTTTTTCTGCTTTTTTTCTTTGAAGGGATACGTATTTCAGCTGCTTTTCTAACTCTGATACCTGATGCAAAACAATTTATAAGATTTTGAAAAATAAGAAAAAAGAAAATAAAATTTGTTTATACCCTTTTTGACAATTCGTAAGCTCGTTGTCTTGCTGTTCTTGAGACGGATCTTTCTGCTAGCAATCGTGCACGAAGAAAATCGATTGTTTTGACGGTTTTGTCCTCCATGGTGTTTTTGTTCCTGATAGATTGAATTTAAAATGGTTCATGGAAAAGAAAATATATTCATTTTCCACAAATGAATATAGACATTATTTGATGATTGTTAATGGAGAAATATATCATCATAGCACTAACTCATTTCCAAGAAAGGACTTGTGAGTCAAAGTGAGTACTTTTCCAATTCCAAGATTTACATAATTTGACATTTCAGGAACAAAATGATATTTATAAAGTTTTTATTTTGAATAAAAACTAACAGTGAAATATTTATGTGATATAAATATGTCACAGATTATTTAAAAAGAACATCAACTTTGAATATGTAAGACATAGAAGTCAAGATTGAATAAGTCAATAAAAGCTCGACTCATTTATAACCCCACCAACCAAAATGCAAAAAACATCATAACCTGATTTTAATAAGAAAATATATATACTACTATTATAATTAATCAACACATAGTTAGAACTAAATAATGTCATGAATATATGTATGTTTTTAGGAGACACTTCAATTCCAAGGTTAAATTGGTAAAATCTACAAGATTGTATAAAGATAGAAAGGGTCAAACATTGGAAAGTCACCCACAGTATTAGTGGATCTCATTATTGCACAGGCTTTTGTGTGGTTTAAATTCAGGGGTAATTTGGGAAAAAGCTGGACAGAATGGAGTTTTCACCTTAGCTTCTTGCTAATGGTGGTTTTTTATATATGAATGCTTTGCTGTTTCAAAAAAAAAGTATTAGTGGATCAATCTAACCTCATCAGGCCCAGTTTAGTCCATATTAAAAAATTACCCATTTTGCCCCCTCCAGTAATTATCACTATATATTATAATGGAGGAAGCATTACTGATCTCATTGACTTTTAATGTTTACACCTAAAAATATAAGTCCTCCCATCTGACTTTTGAAGGTCAATCAAACTACTTTTCAATTTTATTGTTGATCTGAATGAACTTAGGTATTGAAGAAAATTTGAAAAAAAATACTTCATGTACAAAAAATAGGTATTTAATGTATAAGCATTCGTGTTTACTTTCAATATAGAGCTTACTAGGTTTAAATTTTGAATCTCAAAGGAGTAGAGAGGTAATTGTGCACAACTTCTTTCACCATAATTACTACTAATTATGTATTAGTAATTAGACTATTTACACTATTATTCAAATTGTACAAACACTTTAAAGATGTGTATGTTATGAACCTTATTCAGAACGTAAATGAGGAATTAGCAACCACTTAGATGGAAATCGTTGTCTTTATCAACCATATAGAAGCAGAATCTCCTTTAAACATAAAAAGAAGCTATAAATGCAATGAACAGAAAACATAAACCCCATAGAACTATTGGAGCAAATCAAGAGGTGTAGAATTATCGCCAGAAACTTAACTATGAAGCAAATTCTTCTGAAATCTGAACATATCAAATTAACCTTTTTAGCTACAGATCAAGATGTTTAAAGAGACGCCAAACCATACTCAGTTGTTAGCTGCATTTTAAATTGTCTCATTCTAGAACATAAGCTGAGAAGATACAAAAGTTACAGACTGATATAAGCACACAAACACACACAAATCTAAGATTTATATATACAGAGTTACAGATTACATATTGATCAAGACGTTTACTGATGCAATTCTCTTTTTCTGATTTATTCTAGACCCCACACGAAAGAGAACCCAATATTGATATAAACACACAAACACACACAAATCAAGTATCATCACAGTTACAGATTGATATAAACACACAAACAAACAGAAATCAAATATCATCGCAGCTACCCGATGTCATATAAACACACAAACACATAGTCTAAGTGACATAGGGACACGAAGAAAGAGGGGCAGCTTTTTACCTAAATGGTAGCTGGCAGCTACAATTGGGCTTCGGCTTCCCGTCGGTTTTTGAATGAAGGTGGGATAGTGGACTGACTTGCGGCTGAGAAGAAGTTGGAGCCTCGGAGGTGAGGTTGATGACGCCGACGACTCGACGAGAGAAAATGAAATCGGTGGTCAAGACGACCTAATTTGGTGTTTCCCCTTTCCCCTCCCGACTTGATAATGAAAAGTAACTACTCTGTTTACATCACTACGACATTGACAGGGTGTTTGTGAGTAAGCAAAAATGTTTATCTACTTACCTGATTGTAAAATGAGTTTATTTAAAAAAATAAATAAATAATATTGGAATAAATAATGACAAAAGTCAATTAGTAAGACCACTTGGAATGGGCAACGGAAGATACCGTCATTCGGCAGTGTACATCAAATAACGTTGGTATAACACGCTAAATACCACGCCACCTAGTCGTTATTAGGTGTTATGGTACAGGGTGTTTTCATGGTAACGGGAATAAATACGCATCAATTTTTTTGCAACGGTCGTAAAATGGACTGATGATTGAACGGTCAGAATGTAAAAATAAAAAAAAATATATTAAAAAAAATTATTTTTTTTTTCAATTTTCACTCGGCATATATATATACATTTTAACTTCAAATTTCACTCATCATTTTCCACTTTAAATTTTTACACACCCTCAACTCATTTTTTAGACAAAAAATCATATGGATCAAAACTCCAACATTTATCTTCCAAACACAAAAACATCTCAAACTCTCGGTTTTACACAATATGAGTTGTATGCGAACATTCTTAACACTCAAGGCAACTTTTTCAATCCTGTTTCGCCCTCACCATAATTTCCTACAACCATTTTATAAAACTTTTTCAACACATTCGCCACAATGCAATAAATACCACACATGTAACATCCGAAAAATACAACCAATTTAAAATTTTCAAATCAACCCGATTTTTCATTAAAATGTTTACAAAAAGGTTTTCAATACAAATCATTAGAGTATTCCCAGAATCACATTGCTACAAAATCATGAGGAGCGGTACGATCACGCCTTCGCCTTGCCACGGTCTCCTGAAGAACCTGAAAAACATTAAACCACAACTGTAAGCCCGAAAGCTTAGTGAGATACCCCCAAAATACCAACCACGTATACGCCCTTCCAGGCTGCGACCTTCCGGTCCAAAACATATAAAACATACATAACATAACAGAACATAGAACAGCCATGCATATCGGGTCTACTGTGTGACTGGTCCGCCGTATCGGGCCTTCAGTCCACCGGATCCATCCTCCAGGTCTAGTCATGTCCTTCGAGTCTACAGTGGGGTTGGTCCGCCCGCATCGGGCCTTCAACCCACCTGGTCCACTCTCTGAGTCTACAGTGTGACTGGTCCGCCCGCATCGGGCCTTCAGTCGGCCTGGTCCACTCTCCGAGCCTCGGCACGTCTGGTCCGCCCTCGTGGGGCCTACAGCCTATCCGGACCGCTCGCTGGGCCTTCGGAACAACCGGTCCGCCCTGGGTATCTTGGCCTACAGCACAAAGCAGGACCCGCCTCAACCCATCTCCAGTCCAAACAACCATGTGCAAAAACATACAATCATATAACAGTCATAGTCAACAAACCGAGCAAGCAGATCACATAGCATATCATTACCCTAACCAGGTTACCGACCTAACCGGTCACTAGCATAGCATCACTCTGTATATCGGGAAACTGACCTTAACAAGGTCTCCTAGCATGTACCATCCTAGCTACCAGGATGCAGACACATCAAACAATAACATAATAACCATATCCGAATCTCAATCCAATAAAGGGCCGGCCTTGGTGCCTTAGACCCTGTTGATATAGTGAGGATAACTCACCTCGAAACTGTCGGCTGAAAGGATAAGATCCCGCTGCTCCGAACTCTGACACGAACTCCTCCACTGAACATCAAAACATACAACTCAATAAATACCCTTAATTACCAAAATACCCCTGGAAGACAACTGGTCAACCTTGGACAAGTCAAAGTCAACCCCTGACTGACCCTACTCGCCGAGTCAACCGATGACTCGCCGAGTCCCATGCTCAGAACTTCCTCAATCAGCGACCCAACTCGCCGAGTCACCCAAGACTCGTCGAGTCCAACAACTCTGAGTCCACTCGCACCCAACTCACCGAGTCATCCCTTGACTCACCGATTCATCGACTCAACCAGAAATATTGGGACTTCCTCGACAAGACTCGCCGAGTCCAAATGGACTCGTCGAGTCCAAGGCTATCTTCAACCTACTCGCCGAGTTGTTCTTCCAACTCGTCGAGTTCCAGGCCATCTTCAAGCAACTCGTCGAGTCCACCCATGTGACTCGTCGAGTACCACCGGTCTGAATCCATACAGAAGCATCTCAGGCCATGCAATTGATCCAAAACATAGATCCAACCTCCTACAATCCATCCATCACGTAAAGTGGCAAACTTTACGTGAATCTAAGAGATCTAAGCCTTATCCACCTTAGAAACCAAGGTTTGGACATGGTGGCTTCACTAAGCACTCAAACACAGGAACTTTAATGCACTCTAGCCTTCAATATTCCAGATCTGAGGTAGCAACCTCAGATCTATCTCCAAAACTCCAATACATTCCAAGACATACTCCCACAAACCCCAAAATGATGAAACTAGGAATGCACAGCCTAAGGACGAAGGTATTACCTCCAAAGATGCCTCAATAGCAGCCAAACTCGAATCCAAGCAAAGCCCTTTGATCCAAGCCACTTCTCCTTCAAGATTTCTTCAACCAACACCTTTCCAAGCTCTAATTTTCTCCACAAATGAACTCTCCACGAATTTAGGGTTTCTGGAACTCAAGGGGGGAATAAAGGAGGCTGTGGAGGGGTATAATGCTCTTTATATAGGGCTCAACCCCGAAAATTAGGGTTTTCTCCACACAGCACCTACTCGCCGAGTCCATCTTTGGACTCGCCGAGTAGGCCACTTGATACGCGACCATAGTCGCGACCTGACTCGCCGAGTCTATCCATGGACTCGCCGAGTCACCCTCTAAAACTTACACTTTTAGCCCTTCAACTCTACTCTTGCGATTCCGGGATGTTACAACACAACCACCAGCCATGCAAGAAAAGGTACCCGAGACTCAAGCGGGGGGAGCCGAAAAAAAGGCCAACAAATTGAGATCACGAAGGAAAGGGAAAGTGGTCACGATGGAGCAATCAGAAGACAGACCTCCAACATGGTGGACTGCGGAGGAAGAATACATGTTGGCGGTGACATGGTGCAGGACATCAAAAAATCCAACGCAAGGAAACGATATGAGAAATGTTGCTTTTTGGGAAACCGTGATCGAGAACTTTAAGATCATTTGAAGAAGGATACAAATTACTGCAATCACTATATGTTGAGTAGCAACTGGACTCGAATAAGCAAGAACTGCACCAAGTTCAATTTCGTCTACAATAAACTTTCTTGTCACAAGCAAAGTGGTGCGACCAATTTTGACGTTTATAGAGCAACAAGGGACCAATATCATGTCGAGATCGATCATCTTTTCAAGCACGAAAAGATTTGGGAGATTGTCAATGAAGACCCAAAATGGAATAAAACTAACAAATTTACGGAACAACAATCGAAGAGATCTTGCAGCTCGGGTTCGGTCGACGTTTCGGACACACACACAAACATCAACTTCAATGCGAACACGGATGAGAAACTGGACGACTTTAACGACATCGAAGAGATCTCCCCGCCTCAACGACTGATGGGTCACGACAAAGTGAGGCGGGCTTAACGACATACGGAGGAAGATGAAAGTAGACATCGAAAGCAAGTGGAAATGAAATAAAATTTTGACGATCACAACGAAATCGCGCGTAAAAGATATGAGTTGCAACAGGAGCATTTATAGTTCCTTCATCATGAAGTCGAGGAAAATCGCATGGCGAAGGATTTGGCAATTCTTTAAACTAATGAGAAGAATATGTCACCGAGACGGTTAGATGTGCTCCGAAAAATGAAATCGCATTGCGAAGGATTTGGCAATTCTACAAACGACTGTTGTTTTCGGTCGTTTTTTTTTTTCCGTTGTCATGTCGTTTTTATTTTAACAATTGTATGTTTAATTTATATGTTTTTTAAAAAATATTATGACATAAATTAAAAAAAAAAACAAATTAGAGAAAATAGAAATTAAAAACATCAAAAAAATAATAAATAAATAAATAGAAAACTGTAGGTATTATCATATTGTTATTTGGTGTTGTTGCTCATTTCCATCTTTGGTATTATAAAACCAAAAATATGTCTAGGATTATGAGATGGATATTTTTGGTGTGATAATATGTAATAACATATTGCCTACACCCAATAATCTAAATAAGTTAAAAAAATATTTAGCTTAAAATCTTTCTTATGAATTTTGTAATGGCTTAAAATACCTTTAATTTTCCTTTTTGAAACTATTTTAACCAAAAAAAAAAAAAAAAAAAAAAAAAAAACAATTTGAAAAAAAAATCGTTTTTTTCAGAATTTTCTTTCTCAAACTTATGGAAAAGTTATTTTCAAAAGTGATTCTAAGTTTGGCAAAATATTATTTTTGATTTATTAGTTTTTAAAAAATCATTGTTTTAAAAAAAAACAATCTCAAACACCCGTGAATTTTCTTTTTTATTTTTAGTTTGATTCAGATTAGTTGGTTTAATAATTAACAAACCATTAACCGAAACAAATAAAAGATTATTCATTTTCGGTTTAACCGAATAAGCAACCCAAAAACCAAATAACCAACCAAACCATTTATTAAAATAGAAACAACGATAATACAGAATTGTTTCATTATGATTTAAATTTTCAACTAAGGACTTTCATATATATATATATATATATAATATATATATATATATATATAATATATATATATATATATAATATATATATATATATATATATATATATATATATATATATATATATATATATATATATATATATATATATATATACATATATATATATATATATATATATATATATATCCCTTAAGGGTACATAAGCTTAGGTACCCAAACTCATCATAATACATCGTTTTGTTTAATATATTCATTATAATGCTCTTTAAGTTCAATTCCTAACTTGATTTACAATTAAGATTTTCAAAATTTCACTATCATCTTCCTTTACATCACATATTTTTGCCAAAGATCTAGTAGACTATATATATTATAGTTGAAAATGAAAATTATGTAAGAGGGAGATAAATGTGAAATTTATAAAAATCTTGGAAGTAAATCAAATTATAAGTTGAATTATAAGAACATTGGACAATTATAATGTATATATATGATACAAAACGACGTAGTATTATGTGTTTGGGTACCTAAACTTATA